CGTAAACTTTCTCTTATCCGTCCCATAACGTCTGGTCTGCTCAAGATAATTCAATGAAACTTAAAACACATATGCATCATCACTAGACAGAGTGTCGCGTACACTTTTCACCCCCCCAGCCCAGTGTTCAAGGTCATAAATCAAGGTCAAAGCTGAACAAGGTCTTTGCTTGTCCAGGCCGTTGCTACCGATTGCTGTATTCAGTAATTGTTTGTCGATGAGCGTATGAGGTATGCAACATGCTTATTATTCCTGCGACCACATTTTACCATTAATTACACGTTTTAACAATAAACTACAACAAATTAAATGTTTAAAAATAAATAAAATAAAATAAAATCGTCATATATTTGTACCTTTTTCAGCACACGTCAGATTTGTCTGTAATTGTTCGTATTTAATTAAATTATGAGTAAATTAAACAGAAAATGGTCAGTTAAACTAGACTTTGATTTGTTTTAAACCGCCTTAACCTCAACACATTTCAGAGTTAGATTTCTCACATTCCTATCTGCCGATGGATTAAGTTTCAAAGAGCAAACAGGACAAATTTACAAGTTTTTATTTAACGATAGACTCATTATTCATATTTACTCATGTTGTTTTTTTCTCACTTGCCCTCGACGAAGACGGATGCTTCCCTCTCCTGCCTTCCTCCTGCTTTTGCTCTTTGTCCGGTGTATCAGAGCCTCGTGTGCACATCTTCCGAATCGTAAATTATTATTATGGATCTAGTCAGCTGGTCTCAATGCAACTGATAAAAATTTTTGGACCAAGAGACCGGGTGCTGGAGAGCCCTCATGCCCTGAACGGACCCACGCAGCTGGATGTCATTGATTCCTGGGGCAGTGGAAGATGATGTGCCCATCTGTGCTGTCCGTGGAGGACGGAGAAGATGTGCACATTGTTGGCTTTATGACTTTACAGGGTTTCTGCTTTTTGGAATCGCCGGACACCTAGGATATCGACAAACTATGAAAACGCCGGCAGCAGTTTTGACCTTGGTAAAGCCGCCTGCCTTATGTGAAGGATTAATTGGTGCTTCGAGCTCTCAGACTCGGATGCTTTGTGAGCTCAACCGTAAGCTGGACGAGATTTCTGAGAATCGTGGGCCACTTGCGGCTCCTGGAACTCGCCTGCATGAAGGATTCGACTGTTGAGAAAGCACAGATCGGTAGAATGTCCACAAATCTTTGGATTCACCATCGAGAGTACCAGCAGAACTGAAGGCAGACAGAAATCAGAGTCTGCCTGCACAAAACAACAGTTTATCTGAATCTGGCCTTTCCGCTTGGCCTTGGATAGGCCAACTTATCTCAGATTGCTCCTGGTGGATATGTAAATCAAGAAGCTCTGCTCCGTCACATCTTATCAGGACTATGGAAACTATCTGGAAGTGTTCATGGACAAATCTCACCGTCTTGTCGTCCATGCACATGTACACGTGCATTGTGCGTAAACGTTGTTTGCTGTGGTAGATTTGTTTGATGCCTTAAACCGTGCCCTGTCAAGGACACGGCGTGAGAGATCTTTTTTTTATATATACCTCTCTCCTCATGTTTTCTTTCCCTTTTCTTATCTAAGCAATAAGGGCAGCACTTCTTAGATGCTGCAGTCCTTGCACACTTCCGTCCATCTTTAGGATGGCTGTACAGAAAGTAATTTCACTGTGCAATGACAAGCTTATTCTGATTAATAAATCAGTTTCTATCAAGTTCCCAGTCGTTTGACTCTCGCCATGTCATCTGTCGAGATGTTTGATTGGATTTAAAACTTTTTTTTTTTTCATCTTTGGGGCTGTAATCCTATGATTTGGGTCAGATGTATAATCTGCACCAGGCAGTGTGCCTTTGCTCGTTTGGCTGGTGCTCAGTGCGGCTGTGATGAAGAGGATGGTGGATAATTTAACTGGGTGGAGTTTAAGGTTAGAGGAGCTGACTGCTGGAACAAGAGCCTGTTTGTGTCAGCAGCTCACAAACGACAAGAAAGAATAAATATGTAAAGTAATTGAAATTTCAAGAGGACTTTGTTGTTTTATGTTATATGAATCAGAATAAGCTTTATTATCATTGCACCGTAGTACAGTACAGTGAGATTATATGCTGATGATATATGAATGTTCCGTAATAAATTATGAATTGTTAGTCCTTTCATCCATTTTCTTTATACGTTTTTCTCTTCCGGGTCGTGTGTAGCTCCAGCAGACACCGTGTGAGTGGCCTGTGAACTTCTCAATGCGAGGCAACGACTTTAACCACTTTACAGTGCTGCTTACATTAGTCAGACATAAAATAATGCTTTTCATTATCTCAATAAAAATGCTCATTTTTCTTTTCCCTGCTGTCTGCAGACAAACCACTGTGAACTCCTCCGTCGTCATTATTACTATAGAATCTGACCGATATGGAAATTTGACTATCGCCAATACCGATATTGGGAGGGGCATGTGACAGACGATAACCAATATAATAGCTGAAAATTTTTGAGCTTGTTCACAGCCAAGAATCTAAGAAAACAGCAAATGGAGCGGGGCTTGTTTATTTAGTGCAGCTGTTAGCAACCATGAAGCTAAGCTAGTCAGATCCACACTATACGTAGTCCCACAGAAGGTTTACAAGTGGTGCTCTGGTCATAAAAACAGTCTTCTTCACGTGCATTCACATCGTCTATCCTCCACTATTCACCATAAAGTTATCAAGTGTGTTACAAAAAATATAAATTAAAGAAACATCCTTCCCTGTTCATTGTTTGAACAGTCAATCACGTATGGTGAAGGTCTAATTAGTATTGACCACAGGCAGCAGCTTGTTTTTCTTTACAGAGAATTAAAGATTTCAGACAAACAATACATTTCATTGAGGACGACAAAGATACTGTTACTAACACTTAACCTCTACGTTAGATTTATTGTTATGGATACAGTTTTACAATAGCCTATGCCAGTTTATCTACATGTTAGCTTGCTAACTTGAGAGGCATGTAGCTAATGACAAGCGGGTTGAAAGATTGAAGAGAATTTATTCTTGATTTGTTTTGCAGATTAGTTACAAAAAACTTACTGTGCTCTTAATCAAAATACGCTACACAGTATTGCTTCCTTCTTCGGCTGTACTGAATGTGAAAGTGCAACTTAAGTGAATGACCATGACTTGAAAGTAGCCTTCACGCGCACTCTGCTGGATATATTGTACAATTATGCAGATTCCAGCATTTTAGGGGTGAAAATTAGAAATTAGAAGTGCTTATATTGGTGCTTAATGGGACAATTATCACCGATTACCAATAGGTCCCCAAACATTTATATCTTTCTAAATTATCAGCCCTACCGATATATCGGTCAAGCTCTGATTATTACCATTCACTTTTAGTTATGGTATTGAGGTTGTAGCACAAGTTTTGTGTTTTACTTTTAAGGTGTAAAATATGTACATTTATTAGTTAAACACATAAAATACAAAGTTCTCGAGAGTGAGTCTGTACCAAAAAAAAGGGAAAGTTCTCTGCCAATAGAAGAACAAACAAAAAACCCTAGAAAGACTCCAAAACATGAATTAGTGGACCAGCCTACGGACCAAAATGTGTCAGAGACTCCAGGTGCAAACTGCACCCGGTGCTCCAGACGTACCTGGTTCTTCAGTCTTCATCACAAACCTGTTTCAGAGGATCACATCAAGTCCTGCTACTTAACTTCTGAACATGTTCAAAATAATCTGAGGGACAGGTTTAGTCTCCAAATAGTCAGAGAGTCATGGTGGGCGTCTCCAACTCACCTCGATTATTTCATTAGTGTCTCCGGAGCTCTGCGGCCGCACGGTAGCTTAAACTGTCCAAGTCTAAAAACCATGCTGATGGTAAATCATAATCTATAAAAATCAGGTCCAAATCAGCCTCTTCATCTCTAAAGTGTACTACAGCAGACTGAGCCAATCATGTCGGGGTGGCTGCCAAGGAGGGAACAAACCGGGCTGAGGTTGGACAACCATGAGTCCTGTTTTAGAAGCTGTACACACTGAAACGGGTTGGCGTTTTAAAAACACGACAAATGTTCGGGGTTTAGTGAGACTTCAATTGAAAATATGTCCTTTTGTTTTCTCTCAATTTTCCTGCACTTCTGAGTCCCCAATAATCTCCAACAGTGCCGGCCCTTTGAAATGCACGACTGGATTTATGTGGTGAATGTCAGCAGAATAAGGAACCGGCCACTTTCAAGTCCTCATCATTCAGTAAAGGCTGGAGTTCAGCTTTCAAACGGCTCCTGACAAAACAGGACGCCGACTCTGCATGTACATCCTTGTGTTTCATCTAATCAGCCTTCTGTTTTCGTCCCTTTTGATAAAGGTTAAAGTGACCTGTTTTTGTCCCCCACCCCATCATGGAGCAAAGTGGGGAATTAAAAATCCCCTCCATTCGTCCGTCTGACTTGTGTGCTGGATAAGTTGAAAAATTAGGAAGCTACCGACTTCCATTCCGGTGTGAGCCTAAGAGAGGTCCCTATCAAACACATGTCAAAATCCAAGATGGCTGCCACCCTTTAAACAGCCTGCAACCTGTGAACAGGTCTACCCAACCATTTGAGGAAACTGCTTAATATTGATTGCAAGTTTCCTCAAAGGATTATGGTGGACTTTGGGGTGGCTGAAGATTAAACTGAGGGCTAAGGCCCCCATTGGACACCCCCTGGCTCCTCCACTGGACCTGATGGTGTATAACATGTCTCCCTCCTCTCTCCAGGATCTGTCACTCTGCTCTGCCTCAGACAAGAAGAATAAAACCCTGAAACCTCCCTCTGTTCTTCTCCTCAGTGTAACTCCTCTCCACTTGTCTTATCCATCGCCAAAAACATTTAGGTTTACTTCATTCTCTGTTCTATTCCAGTTCAGGAAAACACTCGTCTCCAAAACTACGTTCACTTAAACCTTCAGCGATAAGGGCCATCGGCGTACCTCTCGTCTTCCTGATCCTTCGTGAACTCTGAAATAAAAACTGTCTTCTCCGCTCAGATGACACGGTGTCAGCCAGCAGCAACATGGACATGGAGGACCGGGTCTCCCACCTGGAGCAGAGGCTGCAGCTGCAGGAGGACGAGATCCAGCTGCTGAAGGCGGCTCTGGCTGACGCGCTCCGTCGGCTCGGTCACTGCGAGGAGCAGAACCAGGGGATCCAACCAGCAGGCGCTCACGCTGGGAGGAGACCAGTGGCTGCTGCGGCTTCCACCCCACCGACCAAAGGTAAACCGTCTGACCCGTTACCACAGCTGCAGCTCAACGGTGAAAAATTCAGTATTTTCTGTCAATCACTTCAGAAAGTGAAACATTTATTACATGGACTCATGACACAGAGTGAAACATTTCAAGTTTTCTTGTTATTTTGATGATTTTAACTTACAGATAATAAAAAATAATAATAATAATAAAATGAGAATATTGTGAAGAGGTTCAGTATCATAAACTCTTGGTGTCACAGCCTGATCAGCTGAACTCCTGGACATGAGCTACAAATGTCTCCTTCAAGTCCAGCCACTCCTGAACCAGAGACAACATCAGAAGCGTCTTACCTGCTGAGGACACAAAGAACTGGACTGTCTCTGTGGTCCAGCATTCTCTTTTCACATGAAAGATTTTTAAATCAAGGTCCCAGAGTCTGGAGGAAGAGTGGAGGTCCAGAATCCACGTTGTTGAAGTCCAGGGTGAAGTTTCCACAGTCAGGGATGGTTTGGGTCCATGTCCTCTGCTGGTGCTGGTCCACTGGGTTTTCTGAAGTCCAGTCCACGCAGCATCTAGCAGGACATTTTAGAGACTTCATGCTTCCTTCTGCTGACGAGCTGTATGGAGATGATCGTTTAATTTTCCAGCAGGACCGACCCACACTGACACAGGTGCCAACATCTGGCTGTGGAATATTCTCAGTTTCTTTTTTTATCATTTTAACTTATAATCATCAAAACTACAAGAAATAAAGGCTGAAACATTTCACTCAGTGTGTGATGAATCTAGGTAATAAATGAGGTTCACTTTCTGAAAGGATGACAAAATATGGAACGTTTTCCTCATATTCTAATTTGTCTAGATGCTCCTGGAGCTGTTCTTCACCGTTTTATGAAACCTGGCTCAGAAACGTTGCAACAGAAACTAAACATGGTGGAAGTTTGTAGAAACTTTGGGGGGAAATAAACTCTGCAGCACTAAAATGAAAGGTGCTCAAAAATGCTTCACAAAAAGACCATTAGGTACCGTGTGGTTAACATAAACTGTGTTGTGTGATAATATTAATATAGAATCAAAGTTGTAAATTATGTGAATGAAATAAAGTGTAAAAATCACTGAAGTGCGGTACATTGTTGCTGCAGGCTGCTTAAACTGCTGAGGTCTCAAATATTAAAGTTAAATTACTCTTGAAGAGTTAAAGTCAAAGTTGTAACTAGGCCTGTCGCAATAAACGATAAATCAATTAATCGCATGATAAATGAAAATTATCAACCTCATTTTCATTTATTGGCTTCATCGTTTCTTCGTGTGTCTCTCTTTCTACTGAAGACACCGGATGACAAAAGGTTCAACTCCGGTGTTCTTCACTGACCCCTCCCTTTCTCTTTTCTCTTTAAAATCCTTTTAACGATCCAAAATCGCGTTTTTGGATCGTTAAAAGCAGCTAAGCTGAGAAGCTAAGCTACGAGCTAAGCTAACAGGCCGACCTCGGAGAACGAACCTTCGTCTTGTCGAAGCTCCAAAATTCATGGTTGAAACTCGTGCCTTCGTCTAAAATGTTGTTTTTCTCTGCAAAAAGAAGCTGAGAACTTGTTTATTGAGTTTTTTTTATTAAAAGCTTTGTGTGAAAAATGCTAAAGAGCTCAAACCACACCGAGCGTCTGCCATTTTGAGAACTGAAGAGAGACAGCCCATGTCACGTCAAGGGGCCTCCCTCCCATTTTTCTTAGAGAGACACGCTGCTCGCTCCCTCGCTATCCATCCTTCAGTTCAAACAGTCTTATACTGCCATCCATTGGTCAAAAAAAGGTACTACACAGAAAAATTCACCAACATTTCTTCTTAAATTTGACAATAACTATTAATTATTGTCAAATTTCAAACAATATTATCGTTTATCGCAATAATTTCTGAGACAATTAATCGCCCAGCAACATTTGTTATCGTGACAGGCCTAGTTGTAATCTCTTGGTACAACATTTTCTTCAGCTCATTAACTTCAGTCAGATTTCTCTCATTCTTGTTCCTCGCTCCACATGGAGCCATGAAGTACTGTTGTTGTTGTTGTTGTTGTTGTTGTTGTTGTTGTTGTTCTTTCAGCTGCTCTCTTCTGGACTCAGAACAGAGAACGCACTTGATTGACAAATTTAGAGATTGTTTTAGTCCAGATGCTTTTCCTGGACTTGAACCTGCACTCTCAGAACCACTGAGGCATTGACCACTGAGCTACCACGCCCCCACCCCCCGTCTTTGTTTAATTAACAGAACAGTAAATTGTTATTCAACTCCTTTACGTTGCTGCTCATTTCACACATTTACTCTGAATCTTATTTATTTTCCTCTCATCAAAGATCTCAAGGTTCAATCATCCGGGTAAAAAGAACTCCAACAATATTTAGTCAGAATGTTCAGTTGAGGGGCGTTGACGTCTTGAACCACTTTGGCTGTGTTGCCTGTAGGAGAGGACGTTCCCCAGAAACCATCTTATCACCAGCAAACTGGTTGGTCCGCCGTAGGAGTGAACTGCTTGGTGGGGAGGACAGTTTGTTTGTGAATTCTCAGACTGATGAAGCCCTTCGGATGGAGGGTGAAACGTCTCTCAATAAAAAAAATAAACTGTCCAGATGACCTGACTGAACATTGTTGGATCATCATTGCTCTCCTGTGCTGGGCCATCCTTTTGGCTAGTGGCTGTTCAGTTTCCTCAGTGTAGAACTGACCACAGCCTGACTCGGATTAACCTGGATTATTGAGCAGCATCAGGACATTATGGAGTCCAACAACGTTCACTCAGGTCGTCTGGATGGTTTCTTTTTTTTTTTGCTGAGCTGTTTCGTCCTTCATCCAAAGGACTTCTCACCAAACAAACCGATTCCCACAACAGCATACTCCATAGTGGAAAAAAAAAAACAGCTTGCTGGTGCTAAGCTTGCTTCTGGATTTTAATTTGGAGTATTTAATTTGATTGTAAAGTGAAACGGTAAAAGTGTTTTTCCGTCTCGTCTTTCAGTCCGACAGCTCCTGCAGGCTCTGCCCTCCAGGCCTCTGAGTAACGGCTACACTCAACAGAAACGCCTCCTTTCCTCGCCTTCATCTCCAAAGAAAGAGGTGCTGCAATCCATTAAAAGGTCAGATCAGAACGAAACAATCGAACTCTAATTCTTATAATACTGTACGGAAAATACATTTATTTATTTATAATTATTCTATCACAGAAAACGTTTTCTCATCTTTGACTCTGCAGCTTTATCACTTAGACGCCTTTTGTTTGTTTATCTGCTGAAAAGTTTTATTTTTATTTATGTAGCATTAGATTTAAGCACATTTGTGTATTAATGTGACTTCTAATATTTGTTTCTCCTCACCCAAAACGAACCCCATTAAGGTTATTTATTGTAACTGTAGCTGTTCAGGAGGCGTTGAGATGAATCAACGATGAGTTTGACTCTTCCTTTCAGGAAGAGCATGTCCACCGAGCGACTGACGCTGGTGAGGAGGGAGATGGCAGCAGAGAGTCGAAGTCGAACCACCTCCTCCAGCAGCTCCTCTGGTGGGAAAAGGTAACGACTCAAGAGATTAGCACCGACCTTGATTAAAAAAAGAAACACCGGACACGTACAGAAAGAAGCTGAAAGCTCACGGTTCATTCACAAAACGACCTTCGCTGTTTATAGAACCGGAAAACCAAGGGTTAAATTCATTCATTTGTTTCAACTCTTTTTAATTTTATGTTCTAATTTTCACGTGTTTAATACAAAAGCAAAAAAAAATATATGTATTGTGTGAATCTCATTTCTTTGTATTTTTCACCATGAGGTAATTTGAATTCATTTAGAACCTATATTGAATAGATGATCTCAAAATATAACGAGCCAGGTGGTGCAAGGGTTAATTTTTTGGTTAACTGAACTAACTGGTTAATTGAAACCAATTAACTGGATGGATTTTAATGAAGCTGCCAGAAGGTAACCACTACTACTTAATTAATTAAATAAAGTTAATTAAACACTTTAGTAAACACAGAAAAGCCTCTGCTGGTCAGTTATACATAAGTTAAGCTAAAATGTAGCGTGGTAGTAGCTGGGACTCCTCCACAACACGTACTCCGAGGGCTGATGGATGCCGTGAGGCCTTGTGATACTGCAGCGGGTGATATGCATTCTTTCAAAGCAACGCTAAGTGCCTGAGACGTCCATGTTTTGTAATAAATATGAATGCATGTTTGGAAAGGTAACATTAACGTATTGCAAAGAAAAATTGCACAGTAACAGGAAGTGCTGACAGTAACAGGAAGTGATGACAGTAACAGGAAGTGATGACAGTAACAGGAAGTGATGTGAAAGGGGATCCACAGCTGCGCTACAATGACTGACGGTGCAGCCAGCAGAGAAGGATCTGATGTTTCTTTAGATTAGTTTGAGTCGCGATCGAGACGAAGAGTCAGAAGTGAAATAAGATTGTTTCAATAAACAAAGAGCAGGAAGTTCCCCTTTTTTAAAGAGTCACTTCCTGGTTCACTTTGGCTGCACCGTAAAAAAAAAAAAAAAAAGCCAGTTATGTGACAAAATGTCCCAGTTATTAATGTTTTTCTTCCACTCTTGTATTAGTGGGCTGTGTAAGCGCTTAAGTTAAAGTAAAAAGCCAAAGGAGCGTCTTTTAGTTACAACAGAGGGAGAAGAACGTTTTCCACATCCACTGTCTGTATTTGAATTTTTTACTTAAAACTTCAGTTTGCAGTCCTGTATATCCATCCATCCATCCATCCATCCATCCATCCATCCATCCATCCATCCATCATCTTTACCCACTTCTTCCTTTTCGGGTCGCGGGGGTCACCGGTGTCCATGTCCAGCCATCACTGTGCAAGAGGCAGGGGACACCCTGGACAGGTCTCCAGTCCATCACAGGGACGCAGAGACAAATGAGACAAACAACCATTCACTCTCTCACTCTCACCTACGAGCTACCAATCAGTCTAACATGTATGTTTTTGGTCTGTGGGAGGAAACCGGAGCACCCGGAGAAAATTCACACAGCACGGAGAGAACATGCTAACTCCACACAGAAAGGCCCCCAGCCGGGATTTGAACCGGCCACCATCTCGCTGAGCGGCAGCAACTCTGAGTGCCGCCCTTGCAGTATTTCCTTTTAAAATAAAATGGGTTTTTTTTTTAATCCATAATTAGATTTTTTTCATAGGATTTTTTTTTTAATTAAAATTTTCCCTTAATTTCCTTTTGTTTCTGATGTTCAAATGTCTTTTCCGTTTTTTATATCTCTTCTCTCCCTTCTTACGTCTGATGGATCAAATTTCCAGCCTTTCTTGGTAACCTGGGGGCGTGGTTACAGGGTAGAGTAGGCGCGGCTTCTTCGTTTGAAAGCTGTGTTCTGATTGGCTGCACGGGAGCTGTGTTCTGATTGGCTGCACGGGAGCTGTGTTCTGATTGGCTGCACGGCTCAGCGAAGCCGAGGTAAAGTTTTGAGGCTGAAGCAGGAAGTTGGCGAGTTGCTGTTGAACAGGACAGGAGCTCCTCTCTAACGGACACCTGGCAGACATGAAGCGATCCTCCAGGTAAACTGGGCAGAGCGTTTGTGACTGAAGCTGCTGTTTGTCTCATGTGACCGGTTGTCTCCTCTTTAGAGACGTCTTCTGTCGCTCAGTCGTTGTTTGACTAATATTTGAATAGAAGTGGCTTTATGAACCAGATGGTGGTTTGTCTGCAGAGCTGCAGGGAGGGGCACAGCGAGAACAAACACCAGCAGGAGAGACAGCTGCTTGCTTACTCAAAAACAAGAGCAATTAAATCACCTGTCTGCTTCTTGATGAGTTCACAGGTGAAGGAGTTGGAGCTTTAATGTTGACTAGAAAACGCACAAACCGGTGGATTATAACTAAAAGTGACAAAACTGGTCATTCTATGTGTAGTGGGCATATCAGTTGATTAAACCACAGGAGCCTTCAGGCTTTAGAGAACATCTTGAACTGAATTGTTAATTTGCACAAACTGCCTCGGATTATTTGCTTTATTACCAGATTAACATGAGCTCGAGGTTCACTTCCTGCAGCCCAGTGCCAACAAGCTGAAGCTGTCAGTGATGCTCATAACGTGGACTGGATTTCCTGATTAATCGTTTCTGGGTTTGATTAAAGGGAAGCGTTTTACACGCAAACTACAATTAAGTGCATGAAATGTGTTGCAGGCGATGATATGCATCTTTATTTCAAATACTGCCTTGCACTCGTGCAGATGTATAACTGTATAACAAACGAGCTTTAATGTGAAGTGATGTCTGGACTACAGCAGCTCTTACTGGAAGTCCTAATGGATCAGCAAATGGATCCCGCTCCCACTGATGATCCCACGTTTCAGGGGACCGCAGCCCATCAGTGATTCTGCAGCAGCCGTTTCCTCCTCGTCGTCCTCATCCTCGGCAGGAGTTCACTCCAGCCTTTAAAGTTCATGACGGGGCTCCTCATCGTGGTTCACTCACGCTTTTATTTTGATTAAAAGTTTAATCTCAAGTTTGATCAAAATCATCCTTCAGGTTTAAACAGAAGTTTACATTCTTCTCTGGTTCTGGTTCTTCTAAAAACTGACTGTTTGTTCACACCTGCTTGGATTTAATTCAACTCAGTGGAGATTTATGGTTTTTTTTTTCAGTCTTTGACACGGAGCTGGGCAATTAGGAGAGATTAAAGCGATAATCTGACCATTTACAGCTGAATAACCCGAGCTTGATTAGACTGGTCTGAACAGCCTCCAAATGTCTTCACTCCAACTTAACGTTAAAATGCATTGAATGCATCAAAATTAAGTTTAAGTGTGTCCTAATTTGTTGTTTAGAGTAAAACAAGTTAAGAAAAGTCAAATTAAAGTAGAAGAGCTGAAATAAAACGTAAAACTTTGAACATTCGGACGGTAAACTTTGTAGAAAAAGGATGAAAATCTTTCGTCTGATATCCGTTTTCATTTAAAGATAAAATATTAATGGAGAATGTTTTTAATGGACATTAACTTTAGTAATTAATAAAATGAGTTCCATAGATTCCTGCTCCAATTGTTGCTCCTTTATGGTTCTTTGTGGGGTAAATAAACGAGGGGAACCCACGTAAGACGGTGAAATATTGTCTGATGGCAGTGGAGATTACACAATATTATTATAATTCCACCTGGTTCCGTTTATTTTACAGATTACCCTCCTAGTTAATGATTACTGCTGTACTGATGGGCTCTTTTCCTACTGTGAGGTAATCTGTAATTTCCTGCTCCTTCAGATGAGTAATCTGTGTCGTGGGTGAGGTTTACATCCAGCACATGTCTCTTTTAAAAACACCAAAGTTCATGCTCAATCATCCAGGTAAAAATCCAACAATGTTGAGTCGGGTCATCTGGACGGTTTCTGGATTCCTGCTGTTTGTGGGAATCTGTTTGTTTTGGTGGCTCTTCAGGTTGAAGAAGTCCTTTGGATGAAGGACGGAACGTCTCCGCACTAAAACAAACCGCCCTGTTGGCTGTTGTCGTTAAAAAGTTCTTGTGGAGCCTAAAATTAGTTTGAGACGTCGTCGGGATGGTTACGAACTGTTCTGCTTCTTTTTGGACCAGGGTGTGTTTTCAGAGTCAGCACGGACACAAAATGTCGGCTAAACTCCGTCCTGCATGCTAATGCATGCTTTGTTTGTGCATTCCCTCCTCCTGGAAACCTGGACGCTCACAACGAATGGCTTTTACATGTGCAGTTATTTACCCAGCATGCCCTGCGCTGAGGCCAGCGTTTTCTTTCATGGGCTCCAGTCGGGCCACACCTCGGTGTCCTCTTTCATCGCACGGCGCAGGAGACGAGTGGTTTGTGGTGTTTTGGAGGAGCCCACACCCTGCCTGTTGTCCTGCAGAGACGAGACAGACGCCTCTCTGGTCGTCACGTCCCCCGTCAGTCCAAACACAAAGCAGCTCTGATCTCCTCTTTGACTCATCAGCGGCTCGTTTCTGCTTCACGGATCCTTTTCTGGAAACTTCAAACGAGTTAAAGTCGCTTGATGTAATTTTATTGACCTGGAGTCCAGCCAGCCTCTGTTCTGCTCTGTTGGTGAGGAGAGTACAAACTTGTCCCGGTGTTTTATCCACACGCCGCTCTGATTGGTTGACTGACGGCTGATTCAGGAGCTGCTGATGAGACTGACAGGTTTTGATTGACAGGTCCAATCATGTACTTTGACCGTGAGGCTGAATCATCAGTTGTTGGTTTAAAATACGGTGACCCAAACGTTTCTCAAATCTGCCGAAAGCTTCGGCTTCGTTCGGCTGACCACGCAGCTCCAACTTTACCGTTTGTTTCGAGGCCACATTAAAGAGCTTAACCTTTTTTATTATTTTGCTGGTCATCAAAGACACGTTACACTTGATGGAAAAGAACGTGCACTCAAAGTTTTAGTCCATCTGAAACAATCCTCTAAATCTTAACTTTGGCACCTCGTTCTGTAGAAGAGTGAAAATCTAAACTAAGACATAAATCAGATGTTTACTTTTTCAGATTTCGTAACTAAAACCAGAAGTCCGGACCAAAACACTGAACTCAGTTCAGCCAAATATAAAAATAAATGTTAGAATTAGTTATAGTTAGCATTCTAAGATGCTCGCGTCCTAAAACCAAAACCTCAGTCTTGTTTGAGTTTATAAACTAAAAAATTAGGGTCATCCACTTTTTATTTTTATTTTTTATACTTGTTGTCTAAGTAATTGATTGAATTCATTGAATTTCATGGACAAATATAACCGTGTATCATCAGCATAACAATGAGACTATCCCATGTTTAATAACATGACATAAGAGAATATATATAAAGAGCATTGGTCCGAGCACTGAACCCTGAGGAACTCCATGCCTAACTTTGGTTCTTACTCTGCTCCTGTAACCTGGAACACGTTACAAAAAATATCTGAAGCTGTCGACTTTGACCTCTCTAAGGGATTTTAAACAATTTAACTTCAATGCAAAAATCAACGCAGGCATGTTCCTGTTTTTAATATTTTACCTCGTTTCATAATGTAGCTTGTTTTTATTGTTTTATATCACTGCTTTTATATGCATTTTATGGCTGTTGGACTTTTTGTACTTTTTAATTAATTAATTTTAAAGCCATTTGGCCGTGTTTTCTTCTTGTTCATAAATTATTCTAAAGTGGCTAAGTTACACAAAATACGTTAATTATTATTAAATATTAACATATTTGTGACGATAAATGTACTAATAAAAACTGTTCAGAGCCATTTGTTTTAAATTCACTTTTACGTTTTTAACATAAAATCATTAAAGTTGAACTTTCATTTGTGGAGGAGTGGTGGTGCAGAGGTTGGAGAAGGTGAGCCTGTGCTCGGAAGATCGCCGGTTCAAACCCCGTTACCGACAACATAAAAAATGTGGGTAGGACGGGTGAAGCACCCACACCTGCCCCCACCCACATTCGCCCTACCATGGGCCCATGAGCAAGGCTCTTAACCCCCATCTGCTCCTAAACGGGTCTCTCTTGAAAACGAGTTCTCGTGGCTCGATGAGACGACCTGGATAAATAAAGCGTCAATGAAAATGAAAGTTTGAAACGCGACCTTTAATTTTTATAGCCGGTGCTCTAATGCGTTGTAAAACTGCTCAAGTGCAAATGTTTTATCTGATTTTTGGGAAGCCGTTTATTTTTAAATCACTGGTAGTAAAGTAAAACCTGGTTATTTATGTATTTATAAAAGCATTTGTGGTAAAGTGCATGTTTTACAGCATTTCAAAGCCCGTTAGATGAATTTCTGTACTTTAATAAAACGAGTGCAGTTTTTAGCGTTGTGCATGTTTGGCGTGTGCAGGACGGATGCAGATCTGGATCTGGAAGTCCTTTAATCACCAATAAACTCCGTCAGAGAGCAGCTTTGTGTTTTCTGAGAAGTCACGGCTTCAGTTCTCGGGAAGCTGCTCCCTAAACCACATCCATCTCCTTCAAAATAAAAGCAGGGATTTCAGATTTGCCTGCGGGTTTATTTACAATTGATTTCTGTTTTTTTATTTTATTTTTTGACTTCTTGTTTTGGTGTTGGCTGTGAAACCTCCATTTGTGTGTGTTTTTTAAATAGAACGTGACCTTTCAAAAACCAATAAATCTGATCAGAACTTTTGAGGAGCTGATAACTCCGTGCATCATAGTGAGCCAGAACTGAGTCGTGCTGCAGGTTTTATGGTTGTTCTTCATGTTTGCAAAGTGGGAGGCGTTGGGACCAACCGGTCTCTCCTGTGCAGGACTCTTCAGCTTTTTTCCTGTCTTTCTTTGCATCAAAGATCTTGCTGTTGGTCTCTGATCAAAGCTGCAGGAACAGTGGAGCCGCCTCGTCAGCAGAATGAAAACTGTTTGTTCTCCACAGCCTGGATAATAAGACGTGTTCCTGCTGACCGAGCGCCTCGGCCCGGCTCTGTGGTCCGGTTAGCCTCTAATGAGGGCTGCAGCGCAGGGAGCAAAGATTAAAGCAGTCAGCCAGAAGCAAATTAATTCAAGCAAATCTCTTTAGTCCGTCTCGTTATGTTTGTGTCCAAACAACTCCTTTTCTCTAAATGTATTTTTTTTTTTCTTTCAGCAAATCCAAAGAATGCACCTTCAATGCAGGTAAAACAACCTTCACTCCCCTGCTGTTGGTTTTTGTGTCGTATCGTCGTATACAGGAGCTGCTCATAAAATTAGAATGTCATTAAAAAGTTGATTTTATTTCAGTAATTCCATTCAAAGAGTGAAACTTGTCTGTTTTTATTCATTACACACAGACTGATATATTTCAAATGTTTATTTTTTTTAATGTTGAAGATTATAACTGACAACTAATGAAAACCCCAAATTCAGTAACTCAGAAAATTGGAATATTGTGAAAAGGTTCAATACTGAAGACGCCTGGTGCCACACGCTAATCAGCTAATGAACTCAAAACACCTGCAAAGGCCTTTAAATGGTCTCAGTCTAGTTCTGTAGCTACACAATCACGGAGAAGACCGATGACTTGACAGTTGTCCAAAAGACGACCATTGACACCTTGCACAAGGAGGGCAAGACACAAAAGGTCATTGCTAAAGAGGCTGGTTGTTCATAGAGCTCTGTGTCCAAGCACATTCATAGAGAGGCGAAGGGAAGGAAACTATGTGGTAGAAAAAAATGTACAAGCAAGAGGGATAACCGCACCCTGGAGAGGATGTTGAAACAAAACCAATTCCAAAATGTGGGGGAGATTCACAAAGAGTGGACTGCAGCTGGAGTCGGCGCTTCAAGAACCACCACGCACAGACGTATGCAAGACATGGGTTTCAGCTGTCGCATTCTTTGTGTCAAGCCACTCTTGAACAAGAGACGGTGTTTGAAGCATCTTGCCTGGGACTGCTGCTGAACTGTCCGAAGTTATGTTCTCTGATGAAAATAAATTTTACATTTCCTTTGGAAACTAGGAACTACTAGTGCCTAGTGTATTTTTAGTTTAACGTTTTTCTTAGTTTATATCTTAAATCTTGCTACTGTTTTTCTTTTACATTTTATTCGTTTGTTGGATGTAACTGGGACCACGTGTACACAATTGTTCCACCACATGTGGTACATGTGGTGTGCATGACTAATAAAGATCCTTGAATCTGGTTTAAGGACCATGGTGTCCCTGTTCTTAATTGGCCATCAAACTTGCCTGACCTTAACCGGTGGTCTATTGTGAAGAGGAAGACGTGATACACCAGAGCCAACAATTCAGAAGAGCTGAAGGCCACGATCAGAACACCTGAGCAGAGCCACAGACTGATCCACTCCATGCCACGACGCATTGCTGCAGTAATCCAGACAAAAGGAGCAACAACTAAGTATTGATGCTGGCCAACATTTATAAAAAGCTTTTTTTAAATTGGTCTTAATTAATATTCTAATGTTCTGAGATACTCAGTTTGGGGATTTCATTAGTTGTCAGTTATAATCCTCAACATTAAAAGAAATATTTCAAATATATCACTCTGTGTAATGAGTGAATATAATGCACAAGTTTCACTTTTTGAATGGAATTACTTCATATTATTTTACGACCAGCACCTGCATTGCTTCATAACTAACGTCACAGTTGGGATTAGTTTAAAATGGGAAGAAAGGACGATAATCTGTTTAACTCTGCCACGTCAACCTGACCGGATTATCTGCTAAACGAGTAAAAACCTGCTGCAGAGCTTTAAGGTTTTAAATCTGCTCGTAAAGTCAAGATTTAACGTTGGGGCTAAAGGTTAGAGCCGTTTATCTTCTAAATGAGCCATATTGATTTATTGATGGGCAACGATGTAATTGGTTACTGTTGAGGTTGAGCCTCCTGGGGGAGCGTTTTGCTTTGAATTGGCTCTTCAGTTAACTGGACGAGCTAAAGTTTGGTGTGTTTCAGCTTTACTTCTCCAAATTTAATCGTTTTATTCACCTTCGCTTGTTTTCTGTAGTTGAAAGGCTGGAATGGAAATAAAACGGGCCGAGTCGGCAGCGCAAGATCAAACGTATTTTTTTTTTTTATTTGGCCCGTGCACTAAACTCATAATTCAGGGAGCAGCAGCCGAAGGTTTAGCTCTGCGTGTCTGCGGAGACTCACTTCCTGTCTCCGCTCGGAGTCATCAGGCGCTCGTTCTTCTCATGCTCTTCTCTTCTGTCCCCAGAGGACGGCTACGTGAGGATGTTCCTCCGAGGTCGTCCCATCACCATGCACGTCCCAGACAAGCAGCGCGAGAGCTTCAGCCTCGAGCAGAAGGTGGCGCTCCCGGAAAAAAAGCTGAAGCTTCAGTGGGTGTATCCTTCAACCAGACGGACGCAGGAAAATTTCAGGAAAACTGTTTCCCCCGTTCAAGAATAAGATTTTCAGATTCTAGCTGTTTTGCTAATGATCTTTTCTGTTGCATTCAGCTAGCCTTTTAATGCTTTTAGCTGTCATCCTGCTTCTTTTAGCTACTCATAGCTACATTTTTCTACTTTAGTTGGCAGTTTTGCTACTTGTTGCCTTTTAGCCAGCACGTTTGTTACACATGGTATTATTTTTGCTACCGGTTAAATTTTTTTATTTTAGCTAGGGCTCTGCTTCTTTTAGCCTTTAGCTGGTGTCCTGCTTCTTTAGTGTTTGACAACACTGTTTCAGCTTCTTCAGCAGATATTCAGTGCTCGGCCTTCAGTGTGTTTACAGAAAATGTTTTTTCTTTAGCTTGATGAGGTGCTTTAGCTGTTTCTTCTCATCGATGAGGCAGGAACTGCGATTTTGAACCACTTCGGTTCTTCTGAGACACTTTAAGCAGCTAAAGTATAAAACGCTCTCCGGCCTGCCTGCAGTCCTGTTGTTCCCTGACTCGGACCTGACCCAGGTACGGATACCGCGGCCGGGACTGTCGCTCCAACCTCTACCTGCTGCCCACAGGTGAGATCGTGTACTTCAACGCCTCGGTGGTGGTTCTGTACAACACGGAGGAGCAGCAGCAGAGACACTACCTCGGTCACAACGACGACGTCAAATGGTAAGAAGACCAAGTCCGGTCCTCGCAGCCGAAACGTGAACCTGTTGGGAGAAACTAATAATGGAGTGAATGTTTATGAAGAATTCACTCTACTGTGAAACTGTTTTCTTAATCCTGCTGTGACTTTGTGTATTGGTGCTACTTTAGCTTTTTTAAATATTTGAGCATTTTCTGCCATTTTTTTTTCATAGTAAATGAATTAAGCTCATTTTACATCCTTCAGCTCTTCAGATCCGTTTACAACCTTCTACTGCTCCTTTCACATTTTGTTCTGCTTCAGCTTCTTTGTGCAAATTTAAGCATTTTCAGCTATTTTCAGTTTATTTCAGCTGTTTTGTGCTCCTTTCAGATTCTTTCTGCTATCTACAAGATTTTTGTTATTCCTCTAACTTGTTTCTGCTAATTTCAGCTTGTTATGCTCCTTTTAGCTTATTTATGCACATTTAAGTTATTTCAACTACTATTTAGCCATCCATCCATCCATTATCTTTTACCTGCTTCTTCCATTTTGGGTCACGGGGGTCGCTGGTGCCCATGTCCAGCAATCATTGAGCGAGGGGCGGGGGACACCCTGGACGGGTCGCAAGTCCATCACAGGGACACATAGAGACAAACGAGACAAACAACCATTCACTCTCTCACTCACACCTAGGGACAATTTAGAGTTACCAATCAGCCTAACATGCATGTTTTTGGTCTCTGGACCGGGGTTTGAACCAGGGACCTGCTCACTGAGAGGCAGCAGCTCTACCAGTTGCTCCACCGTGCTGCCCACTATTTAGCCATTTTATGCTAATTTTAGCTTTTAAGCTAATTCCACATGTTTTTGCACTCATTTCAACTTTTTCCAGCGTAATTCAGCAAAAATGTGATTTCTCCACTTCTCTTCTGCATTTTTAGCTACTTTCTTTTTTTTTTTTAATTCAGCTGTTTTTTTTTCAGATAATTTCCACTTTGTGCTAATTTCTGCTTCTTTCAGCCTAATTGGGCAAACATGTGTTCTTTCTGATTTATTCTGCTACTTAAAGCTTTTTTTTACCTTTTCATCTAGTTTAAAAAATATATTTTTTGTTAATTTCAGCCGTTTCCAGGTAAATTGAAGTTTTTCATGGTAATCTCTGCTACTTTCAGCCCAATTAACGTCATGTTAATTTCAGCTTCTTATACTCCTTTCAGCTTATTTCTGCTAATTTAAGCTTTTTTAAGTTATTTCAGCTACTGTTTAGCTGTTTTATGCTAAATGTAGCTTTTTCAGCTATTTTCACTTTTTTTTTTGCTCATTTCAGCTCTTTAGTTCCTTCTGGTAGCTTAAGCTTTTTTCTGCCTTTTCAGCTACTTTTCAGCAATTTGTTTTTGCTCATTTCAGCTTTTTTTTAGCGAATTTCATATTTGTTGTAATAATTTCTGCTTATTTAAACCTAATTCAGCAAATATGTGTTCTTTCTGCTTTCTTGAGCTAACTTAGACTTGTTCTTCCATTTCAGCTACACTTAATCTTTTTTTAAGTTAATTTCAGCTTTTTTTTCAGCAAGTTCTTGTGCAATAAGCATTCACGCTTCAGTTTGCAGGAAATGAAATTTGTCTAGCTGTTGTTTCCACTCGTTTCTTTCTTCAGCCTCTGATTTAATATGTGTGGAGGGAGTTCAGTTTCCTTCTCCGCTCTCGTTGTTTTTATGTGAAAACGACCTCGAGCTGCAGCGCCGATCTGTAATTAAAACTGCTTTAATCAACCGTCAGCAGCTGACACCCTGAGCGTGCACGTGGAGCACATGGAAACACTAATCCCTGCAGGGGCGAGCTGAGAACTTGACTCATCTGCTCGTGTTCTTCCCACACTGTACCAGGACCGGTTCCTTTGAGCTGACGAAGCAGTGTTTTAATATTTTATCTCAAATGTTGAGACTTCTGTAAGACCTCATTTAAGTCTACGTTATAATTTTACGTCAGCTGGGTGTTTTTAAAAAAAAAGAAAAGTCCAAGTTTCTCCAAGTTTCCTGTTTGTAAACAAACAAGTCCATCTGTGATGACACGACAGAACCAGGAGTGGTTCATTCATCGTTTACACCCTAAAAATGTCTCAACCGTTGGTTTAAACTTCACTTTGTTGTTTTTTTGTTTTTTTTTTACTTTTAAAGACTCTTTAACTAATCACTTTCACCTTCTTCTTTTATCTTCCCAGCCTGAGTGTGCATCCCGACATGGTTACCATAGCAACGGGTCAGGTGGCGGGAAACGCTAAGGATGGGAAGGTACAGGTGAATCCTGCTCACTCTGTGGGCCTGAAGGTTGACGGATCGTTAGCTGGGCCTCGGAAGAAAAAATGGTTTTATTTTGTAAAACCATTTGGAAGAGCTAAAAGTTGTTACCAGTTCTGCATTATTATTATTATTGTTGTTGTTGTTTATCATTGTTGTTGTTTTGTTCTATTATTTTTATGTCCGTCAAAGACGGACAGACGTATTATGGCGTATTGTTCGTTTGTGAACTTGCACAACGTCTGATCCACTCGAGATAATTTAACGAAGCTTCGTGCACATCAGCAGAGTGTCTCGTGCACTTCTCGTCACCCCAGCTCAAGGTCAAGGCCACAAATCAAGGTCAAAGCTATACAAGATCTTTGCTCGTCTGGGCCATAACTACCGATCACCTTCACTCTTTCACACATCAAGGTCACAAATCAAGGTCAAATGTCTTCCAGGCCACATCTTCTGATCCAAGATCATTTAACTGAACTTGACACGTGAAGTCGTCTCTTCTGGGCGTATGTTGTTTGTCGCAGTACTTGTGGTTTTTTCAGGCTAATTGCAAAGAATCAGAACCATTTTCAAAACTTTGGCTTCTTTTATTTATGGATGAGATGAAACAACAATCTGTGTGAATGTTCTACGACGAAGATGAAATAAGATTAAATTATATTTTTTGACAGTTTTGATGTATGCACGGCCTCGGCACAGTTAAACGCTTTTAAAAGGGTTTGAGATTCCTTAAACAGAAAAACGCTGGAACACCGATAAAGAGGCGGAGCTTAGAACGTGTCACTCGTTTTATTGTATTTCTTTGTGGTTTTTGAGCTGAAAACGCAAACGGGACAGTTTCTAGAATTTTCCTCTTGGATTTGACCCACGCCGTTTGTGGTGCCGTGTGCAATCGTCCTGATTTGATGTTTCCGCCGTGCGTCCAGCTGCTCGCGCCTCACGTCCGGGTCTGGGACTCTGTGAGCCTCAACACGCTTCACGTGATCGGGATGGGCGTGTTCGACAGAGCGGTCACCTGCGTGTCCTTCTCCAAGTCGGTAAGCAGCCGTTTGACCTGCGCCGCAGGTAAAATAATTAAAACGTCTTCTTACTGAAGGTATTCTTCTCCGCTCCAACGTCCAGAACGGTGGAAGCTTCCTGTGTGCCGTGGACGACGCCAACGATCACATCCTGTCGGTCTGGAACTGGCAGAAGGAGAAACAGCTGGCTGATGTGAAGGTGATCAGTAATTAAATCTGATCATAAATAAATGTTGCTCTTCTGGATCAGAAGTGCTGACGGAGATGTACGTGAAATTAACCTCGGTTACTTCTCCCCCTGCAGTGCTCCAACGAGTCTGTGCTGGCAGCCATGTTTCACCCCATGGACACCAACCTGATCGTCACCTGTGGAAAATCTCACATCAACTTCTGGACCATGGAGGGCAACACCCTCACCAAGAGACAGGGCCTGTTTGAGGTACGGAGGCTCCTGGTGCTGGACCGGTCGTGAAAACGCCTCAGGTCGGAGCAGCCGCTCGGTCCCGCCGGACGTTTTTATATTTGAGTCTGTCTTTCTAGAAACACGAGAAACCAAAGTACGTGCTGTGTGTGGCCTTCGCTGAAAATGGAGACGCCATCACCGGAGACTCTGGTGGAAACCTCTACATCTGGGCCAAAGGTAGGACCGACACCAGTCAACCTGAGAGGAGTCGCCGCTGTACGATGATATTTACCGTATTTTACGGCCTATAAGTCACGTTTTTTTTGCATAATTTACACGCCCTGCGACTTATCGGCCGAAGCGACATATTTGTGGATTTTTTCCATATTTATAAACTATTTTTTGTCTGAGATATGAATGTTCTCATTCATTGACTGGAAAAAAAAGGAGCAGTACCACTTTCAGCCACTTGATGGCAGCAGAGTATTAATAGTAGTGTGGCATGCTGTTGTGTCATGTAATAGGTAAACGTGGCTATAATGACAAATTCAAAAAAGTTCAAGACAAAAACAACTAGACTTTATTTATTATAATTTACTTTGTACTTTATTGTATTTTTCTTGAACTTTTTACAATGTACCATGTCCTGGATGACCGAGAATCTTCACCAGCTTCTAAAGACTCAATCGGCCTGCCCTATGGACGCTCCACCTTAATTCTGCTCTCTGCTTGGAACCGTCAAATCAGCTGCACCGCCCCGGTGAAATGCAGCTGATTTGACCATTAAAGTACATTTATTAAGCAGATAGCTAAATGTTAGCTGCAGGTGTCCTGATGCATGCTCAGTCATCCAGGTAGATGAATCTGACCAGGGTCAGGTCCTCTGGACGGATTCTTCTTGTGGAAATGTTTCGTCTTTTATTGAAAGACTCCTTCAGTCTGAGGAGCTGCAGGCAAACCATGGACTTTGTGGATAAGGTGAGGGTATACATTACCACCAAGACTGGTTCATCCCAAAGATCCAGTCCCCCTGCACAGAGTAATATTGTGTATGCTGTTCAGTGTCAGGAGGGTGATCAGTCTTACATCGGGGAAACTAAACAGCCACTGGCCAAAAGGATGGACCAGCACAGAAGATCAACATCATCAGGCCAGGACTCTGCGGTCTACACTCATCTCCAGGCCAGCGGTCACTCTTTCAGGGATGAAGATGTTCACATCCTGGACAGAGAGGAACGATGGTTTGAGAGAGGAGTAAAGGAGGCCATCTTTGTGAAAAGAAACCCTCCATCATTAAACAGGGGCGGAGGCCTCCTGGTTCAACTGTCCCCCTCTTACAATGCTGTGATTGCTAGTATCACTCAACCCCCTGTGAATAGCAAGTGGCCATCAGAGCACTACTTGTTAGGCTGATGGTCCTTTTCCATGTGAACAGCTGGTTCTGGATGTCACCAACAAACTGGTATCTTATCAAAATAAAGCGCTTCACAATCTGTGCCCTCGTTTACCCACAACCCGTTCACACAGCTGGTTGACCTATGAGAAGGCGATATTTATAAGACTGAGTTTGTTGCAGCTCCTCAGACTGATTAAGTTTTTTTTAGACAAAAGTTTCGACAAGAAGAATCCGTCCAGAGGACCCGACGTGGTTAGATTAGCTAAAAGTAGCTAAAGGTCTGGCTAAGAGTAGCAGAACTGTAGCTGGGTGTTAAAAGTAGCAAGAAGACAAAAAATTGATCTTTATGCACTTTTATTTATGTGGTATTTAAAATTTTAGAGTTTAAACAAAACAATGCCACCGTTCATGCAGAGACGAACTGCACCCGTCGTGATTTCTGCTTAATTTATAAATCGCTTTAAACGTTTTGATGTGTGAACAGATAAAATGACACGTTGTATAGAAGTAGATTGAAAACGCTTATGAAAAAATATCAATACGGGAAAACAAACTGCATGCTGGGAGCTTGAGAAGACTGGACCAAACGGGACGTTCTAACAGAACCTCCTGTCGCCTCGCAGGTGGGAACCGCATCAGCCAGGTGGTGTCGGGCGCGCACGAAGGAGGCGTTTTCTCCGTCTGTGTCCTGAAGGATGGCACCATGGTGTCCGGAGGGGGCAAAGACCGCAAGGTGGTGCTGTGGGACCACAACTACAGGAAACAGGCTGAGATGGAGGTAGGAGGCGGGGCCAGTCCCGGGTTCTTGCAAAACACCACAAATTAACCGCTTTCTTTGCATAACCACTAAAAACTAAAAGTAACCTACATTTGATTTGTAAAACGTTTAAACAGTTATTTACTCTTGAACTGATAAGCATGAGAGGAAAGCGTCATGAGCAAAATCCTTATTTTTTATGACTTGGTAAATATAGTTTAAGCATTTATTATGGACGTCACATTAAGATGTATGCAGGCCGTGTTTTCTCTAAAACAGATTGTTAAATTTGAGCTTTGTGTTGAGGTGGGTGACTCCCTGGGTCCGGTCCGGGCTCTGGCTGAAGGTAAACCAGGTGAACTCTTCATCGGGACGACGAAGAACGCCATCATCAGAGCTGCCTTCCCCGACACCCTAACCCCCATCGTCCAGGTACGCCATCAGTTTAACGCCCGTTGGTCGTGGCCCTCCTGACGCACTGAATGAAACGTGTCGGGTTTGACAGGGTCACACCGACGAGCTGTGGGGGCTGGATGTCCACCCCTCCATGGAGCAGTTTGTGACCTGCTCACAGGACAAGCAGGTGCACCTGTGGGACGTCGACTCCCATCAGCCCCTCTGGAGCAAAACCATCGAGGTCAGGCAGCGGTGACGTAAATGAGCGTCGCAGCTAAATACGTACGTAATGTTTTATTTTCTGCTACGTGTCAGGATCCAGGGCGGTCTGCAGGCTTCCATCCCAGTGGGGCCGTTGTGGCCGTGGGCACCATGACCGGAAGGTGGGGCCCTTCTGCTGTTTCACCACAGAGAACCGTTAACCTTTGACCTTTTAGTTAAACTCAATCGCCCACTTCTGAAAGACCTAAACGCCTTCTGGGGAGAGTTTAATAAAACCTTCAGGAAATAACCTTTAAAACTTTCAGAACTTTCAGGTTACTTTTTTAGCTAGTTTTCTACTAATTTGGGCATCAAGCTGGCATTTTTTTTTTTTACCTTTTTAGCTTTTGTGAAGCTAGTCTTTCACTACTTTCAGCTAGTCTTTTGCTAGTTTTACTTGGAGTTCTGCTTCTTT